TGAAGCTTGGTTGAGGTGGTGAAGTCAGAGGGTGGGATATTTCCCAGGGAATGCCTTACTGCTAAATCACAAACTGGCACTCGGCTGAGCCCTCAAGGGTTAACACATTGTTGTTAATGTAGCCTCACATGCTACAAGACAGCACGAATTGAGGGTGGGGAGACAGCATGGCAGAGAGAGACAGAGACACATACCATGTGTGTGAGAGACGCACATTGCCCCTTTAAGTACGCTGACCGCACTCTAAGTACATTGCCTTTTTAAGTAGATCAGCAAGTTGAGACAGCAGCTGCTTCCAGCAAGCTCCCTCCATCCTGAGCCCTATCATATTCGCCCCTCCCCCAGCTCTATGGAGATGGGGTAAAGGAGCGGGGAGGGGCAGAAGTGGGGAGGGGGAGGGGAACACCCTGACATTAGCACAGCAATGCACAGCAAGCAGGAGACTCCCGGGAGCAGCTCCAAGGCAGAGGGCAGGAGCAGCACACGGCAGTGGAGGGAAGGACAGCTGAACTGCCCAACAATTGATAGCCTGCTGGGCGGCTGCCAGACAGGGAACTTAAAGGAGCTGATGGGGGGCTGCCGGCCCACCCTGGTTCCAAGTCCTCACCAGCTAGTTCCAATGGGCTGCTCTTCCTGCAAGCAGTGGAGAAAGTAGGCGGCTGCCAAACGAAGTTATAATGGAGCATTGCGCAACTTTAAACAAGCATGTTCTCTAATTGTTCAGCAACGAAACAACGTTAACCGGGATGACTAAGTGAGGAGTTACTGTCTAGCATTAAAACCTTTCAATTTTGGCAATTAAAGTAATCACTTACTGCCAGGAAGGTAGGCTTTTTTGTAGAAAGTGTAGATGTTTTCTTTGTGGTAAAAGAATGCACCTGGAACATCTGTATATGTACTTTAAGGTGTTTTAATAAAGTCGTCCAGTGAGTCAAATTCCTGGTCAAAAGGATTGCCTCATTTTTGCTGTGTTCGCCTTGGACCATTTAGCAATTTACTGACATCGAAGGAGGTGTTAGCGGGTGAGACGTTCCAGGTATTCTTCATCTGCCTTTCCATCCCCTGAACATATGACGGCCCAAAGGATTCTAATTATCATATGGCCATGACTCAGCAAGTGAGCTAATCCCAAGAGGAACTGGATGGCTTTTAGTAATCTACCCAGAGTCACTGTTTTTTTCAGCCTATCCGGCCATTCCCCAATCCTCCCCATCCATAAGGACGGTCATTAAAATTTTATGCCATGTGCTTTCACAATTAGCAACAAATAGCCAACCTGCTCCAAAACTTGAACTCATTAATAGCTAAAAGAGAGCACTTGTTAACACTCCCCACCCCCCGCCCCACCTGGTCTCAGCCTTTGCTAACCTAAGGAATGAGAATCTAGGTAACCCTTCCAGCCCAAAACTCAGTCTAAATTCTTGCACAGTCCTAATTCTGATGCAAAACTCTGCATTCATACAGAAAATGTCTCGCGCTGGCCCAAATTAATCCCTCCTATAACTCTGCTGAAATCACTGGAGTTGCACAAAGGATGAATTATTCTCTCTACATATGTATCTATCTTAATCCATCATGTACAATAATTTCCTTAAAAGGTGACTGATGTCGAGCAGAGAATGCAGAATGTTGTAGCATGTAGTCCAGCTGAAAAAGAGATGCATTCAAGAATCTAAAATATGAGTTCAAGAAAATATGTGCTTCCATTTCAAAGAGGAAATTAGTGATTTGTATTAATTATCTTCACATTTTTCTCTTCTAGAATTTTTGAATATTTATTCAATAATTCACTTCTTGGGTGTCAGGATTTTATTTTATTGCTTTGTGAAAGCACATTTAGAATTCTTCAGTTATGTGTAGATAAACTGTGCGTGACTTTCTGTTCTAAATCCCATTGCACCTAGATGCTTTGAAAAAATTTACATTTCAAAGCAGCCTGTGAAGGTTTTGCAGCTTTCTAAAACTGAGACTAGCAGTGGGCAAACCTCAAAAGCTTGAAGGGTCAACCTCATCACTAGTAGCCACACAACCCTTTACCTCCAACGAAGTGGGTATTCACCCACGAAAGCTCATGCTCCAATACGTCTGTTAGTCTATAAGATGCCACAGTACTCTGAGATAAATCAATTAACAGCAGGATACCAAGAGAGGAAAAATAACTTTTGAAGTGGTAAGAGAGTGGCCCATTACAGACAGTTGACAAGAAGGTGTGAGTAACCGTAGGTAGAATTAGTATTGGGGAAATTAAGTTTAGGTTTTGTAATGACCCAACCACTCCCAGTCTTTATTCAGGCCTAATCTGATGGTATCCAGTTTGCAAATTAAGCCAGTTTATCTTGTTAGACTGACCTCACACTTGGTAAAGAAACCCCCATCCTTTCGTGTATTTATACCTGCTCCTGTATTTTTCACTTCATGCATCTGATGAAGTGGGTTCTAGCCCACGAACGCTTATGCCCAAATAAATTTGTTAGTCTCTAAGGTGCCACAAGGACTCCTCGTAGATTTTACTCATCATTACGTATGGTTTCCAGTTTTCCAGTTCTGTCCTACCAAAAGTTAATGGCCCACCATTAATTTGAAACTGTCACACTTCTTTCTACATTTTTATTGTTGTTACAAACACCACCTAAAATGACTATAGCTGAAAGGGATTAGAGAAGCAACCAAAAAAAAAAAGTTTTTCCTTTATTTTTCCAGTGTGCTTAATTTGTTCATTTGACAGCACTTCCTGCTCTATGGTCAGTTTCACTGTTTCCCCCTGTACAATCCATTTGTTAGTCAGTTTTCCCTGTCAGTGTGGATCTGTTGCAGCAACATGAATGAAAAAATCATTTGTAAAAACAGGAAACTGTTGTTGTAAAACCACTCCCCCCCCCCCAAAAAAATATTAGTATGTATTTACAGTGTCTACCACAGTGGTGCTCTGGTCCTTGAGCGAGGACTCTAAATGAGTAGCTCTCAACCTTTCCAGACTACTGTACCCCTTTCAGGAGTCTGATTTGTCTTCCATACCCCCAAGTTTCACCTCACTTAAAAACTACTTGCGTACAAAATCAGACATAAAAATACAAAGTGTTACAGCACACTATTACTGAAAAATTCCTTACGTTCTCATTTTTACCATAGAATTATAAAATAAATCAATTGGAATATAAATATTGTGCTTACATTTCAGTGTATAGTATATAGAGCAGTATAAACAAGTCATTGTCTGTATGAAATTTTAGTTTTTACTGACTTCACTAGTGCTTTTTATGTAGCCTGTTATAAAACAAGGCAAATATCTAGATGAGTTGATGTACCCCCTGGAAGACCCCTGTGTACCCCCAGTGATACACATCTAGGTTCCCTCTAAGGTGAACGCCTGCACAGCTGCGCAGGAGGCCACCAAGGGCCGTGCAGGCGTGCACACTGCACTCGGGCATGGGGTGAGGTTGGGGGTGGTGATGTGGGAGCTTGGGGCATGCAGGGCTGCGACAATTCCCCCAGCCCCGGGGCTGCAGCACAGCGAGGAGAGAGGCCTCTTCCCCCCCCCCCAGCCTGGGGCTGCAGCGGGGCAAGATGCCTTTCCCCCGGCCCCAGCCCCAGAGCTGATGTGGCCAGGGAGAGGCGTCCCCGCCCCAAGGCTGCTGCGGCAGAGAGAGATGCCTCTCCCCCAGCCCAGGTACTGTTGCGGGGAGAGAGGACTGGGGGGAATCCTCTCTTCCCACCGCAGCCCCTGGCAGCCTGCACCCCAAAGCCCTCTCCCCGGCCCCACCTCAGAGCCCTCACCCCCCTGCACCCCAACCCTTTGCCCCAGCCCTGAGCCCCCTCCTGCACCCTGAACCCCTCATCGCCAGCCCCACCACACACAACCTCTATATTGGTGCACATAACAAAATTAATTCCACACATGGATGAGAAAAATTAGATGGAACACTGGTATACGTACCGCCGGTTGAGAACCACTGCTCTAAATGAATAAATAGCATTAACACTAACACCAACAGCAAATATCAGGGGGACTCAGAGACTGGTATAGAACCAGGAACTACTTTTAAGTTACAATTAGATTTCAAGTGGACTGTGTCCCTTTAAATAGATTCCTTCAAAACTAATTGTTAAAACCCCTCCCATCTGGCCTGCTCTTTTTGAGGCTGGCAGATGTTGCTTTAGAATCTGCAGTTTTGCATTCATCAGTGGGAGTGGGGGCGGGGGGGTCAGAAGGCAGTAAGCCCATACAGCTCACAAGCGCTCCAAGATCAGCCAGGCCAGCAGTGGCTGTCTGGCAAAAATCACTTTGAAAACAGGAACTTCCCAGGGCTGGATGGAAGGAGCTGATTGGCACAGAATATAACCTCGGGAGTCAAAAAATCTTACCGCCTTATAGGTGAAACCGCGTTATATCAAACTTGCTTTGATCCACCGGAGTGCGTAGCCCCCCCCCCCCCCGCCCCCGGAGCACTGTTTTACCACGTTATATCCAAATTCGTGTTATATCGGGCCGCGTTATATCAGGGTAGAG